GGATCAAATGAGCGGTTGTGGAGGACATACACTGTCTGAGTGGTGGGCAATGCGCTGACAAATGCCATTGTGTGCCGACCAGAAGCGGATGTGATGGTCGTACCCACCGGTGGCCAGAATCACATCATTGTTACCGTCATCGGTGGTCACCATTGTCTCCAAGTCTTGGATTCACTGCACGTTTTGTTTTGGTTTTGCTTTCGCTTTCAAAACCAATTCATTGCAAACATTACGTCTAGTATTCACTCAATTCATTGCAGGCTATGATACTGTACTTCAATTTGAAACTTTCAATCATTTCTATTGAACCCTGGTTACTATTTTCAAATTGTAAATATATAATTGTTATAAAGATGTTGTATATAATATTTAGACATACATTAACAGTGTAAATTAATTTATATGTTATATTAAATGTCAAGTTGAAAAATTATTTTAAACTTTCACTATAAGTTGAATAACTTAAGTATTTGACCAAGGTATTAAATTCTATTAAATAAGACTTGTATATTATAAGTCTGCTATCGCCACACTATAATATAATATAAGTTATATACAGTATATATGATTTTTAGACAATCACAGTAACGTTAACTATTTTTATATTTATTATATTTAATTAATAATTTGACTTAAAAGTCAGTTATTCATTCAATATTCATAGGTTTTATTTTTTAAAAATATTTATTAAATATTCAAAAATAGCCAACGTTACACTGATTTTCTAAAGCTCATATTATTTTAAATACGAATACACTGTAAATTTACTTTAATTAAATTTTATATCAGATGCAGTCATTTATTAGAAATAATTAGTAATAGTCTTTCTTTTGTTTTTAATTTACAAACAAATACAGATTCTGTAATGCTATTTAAATTATTATATTTATATTATGTAAATTAAATATTTTATGAATTATGATTTTTTAATTAAATTGTTAATTTTTAACAGACTTTCAATTAAGATATTTATTGAGACATCTTTGAAACTTATTTTTATCTTGTTTTTGATTTCTGGTATTTTGATAGTTATAAATTTTAATCAATGTCAATACTGTACATAACAGTATACAGTAAGTTACCCTTGTACCAATATTGTACCAATAAATTTTGACAACAATTCACAATAAGAACCAATAATTGATGAGAAAATCAAATGATTAAAAGTTCTCATAAATAAATGATAAGAAACCCATGAATCAATGAATGTATGGGCCAGTATACATTTTTTTATAAATACCTAATCATTAGTATTTATCAAATACTATTTAAATAATTTTAATGCTTGCTGTATTTGATCAATGCTTTGGAATAAATGAAATAATTTCTATAAAATATTATAAATAGAAAATTACGATTCATCAGACATTATAACGGTAAAACATCAATATAATTTAATTCGTTAAAATTGACATAAATAATAATAAGTTTATAACTATTTTAAAATTTATAATGTTACAAACTTTTTATATGAGTACTTAGCAGCTAGATTACAATGAGACCTAGCTTCTATTAAAGAATTTAAAAAAGTTTACAATCAATAAATTAGTTGACTGTTTAGATAAAAGTTCGGTCCAATCTTGACATAAAACTGATTGCGAGTTGGGTTGGCATAAACAAAGTCCAATGTTAAATTATATAAATTGTATGTATACAATTGTTAAATATTTATTAACTTAATATTTAGGAAAGTATTGCATTCACTAATCTTACGACAATAGAAATCGTGACAAATAAGTGTGCAAAATGGCAAAAATGATATGCATTGACGACATGGAGAAGTACGCTCTCCAGCACTTGAGTAAAACGACTGCAGATTACTATAAGAGCGGCGCTAATGAAGAACAAACTCTTCGCGAGAATCGGAGTGCTTTCGAGCGGTTGAGGATTAGACCGCGATTTCTATGCGATGTGAGTAATCGTGACTTGAAGACAACTGTGCTGGGTACTACCGTGTCACTACCAATATGCGCCTCTCCATCAGCCATGCAAAAGTGAGTCTAATATTTAATTTGCTAAAAGTCTTCCTAAATATATGAGATATAATGAGAACTTGTCTCACACTGTATTATATTATAAAGAATGGCTCATCCGATGGGAGAGTTAGCAACAGCTAAAGGTTTTTTGCTTACTTTCACTACTTTTCTTAACTTTTACATTTCACATTTTTAAAAATGATATGATTACTGTAAATGCAATAACAATATTACATAAAAATCTATTACGATAAATTGATACAGTATTATAAAAAAACTGATACTTAGAGTAACAATTATTACTTTTAATTAACATTCAATTTGTTTGCATATAAACGGAAAGCGTGTGAATCTGTGGGAACTATAATGACTTTGAGTACAATCAGCACCTCATCGTTGGAAGAGGTGGCAAATGCCGCTCCAAATGGTGTCAAATG